ACTGCCTGTTGACACCACTAATTATTAACTGTTAACTCTTCAAAAAACAGCCAAAATAAAAATATTTAATCGTAAATTTTCATGGCTAGCTTGGTTTTTAAATAAAAATTTTTGAAATTTTCGTTTGTTGAAAAATATTTCGCATAAGAACGCGTTTCCCTGCTAAACTGTTCCCGTACCCCTGGGGGTTCGCGTACCACACTTTGGGAAGCACTGATATAGATCGAACATTTTAATTTAATTTCCCTCATTGATACGGTTAAAACGCTTGCTAGTTAATTTTTTTTCTTGTAACTAAATTATTCGTTCATGCGACCCATAATAATCTAAATTCAACTTTGTAAAGAAAGGATACTTTGCTAAAGGAAAATCTACTAATTCTTAGTAGATAGACAAAGTTATAAGAACGCCTATAAATTCTAAACTATTGGTTTGAATAAACAAAATGTTATGTAATAATAATCGTATATTTTAAATTGTCTTTTTACCCAACTGGTAAAACCACTTTTTTTCTTATTACATCTTGTTCGTTTCGTTTCTTTTCTAATACCACTGTGTGTAGATACTGAGGAAGGTTCTTATTTAAAGAACCGAAACTAAACTATGTACATTTCTGTACATTTTTTGTGCTGTATTCTTCTTGTTTTGTTTTGTTCACACGAAGCACAAAAAATGCCCTCATCCTCAATTTAGAAACTACTTCGTTCATTGTTTCGTAAGATGTATTATAAATACATTTATGTGTTGAATGAAACTTGTTACTGTATGCCCGAAATGTTGCTATTTTTGTAATAAAAGTTTTTTTTTTTTCTTCACAGCAATTTCTTCATTTAGTTTCTAATAAATTATATCTATTTTTAATTTAAGTATTTTCTCCAAATAGTTTATGATTACCACCTTTACTAGGGGCATATTTATATTATATTACTAGGGGCATTCAAATATCTGGTGCTATGTTCAATCAAATTAAGTAGCATTTCGGGCGCAATAACACGTCAGTGAAACAAAAAGTTTAAAGTATTGTCGAAGCAAAAATATTTATTAAACAAATAAGAAAACAACTAATTATGCTACATATGATATAGTTATTAATAAATTATACACTTACTTTGAGATATTTAAACGTAATTAGATAAGCTGTTTTAGTTTCTGGTAGTTATAAATTGTAAGAAGCTGTTTTTAATAAGTTCTTAATACTCTCTGAAGCTATTAGTTATTATCTCTTATTAAAAACATATGTCTATTCAAAATTATTTTCACTCTCTTCGTTTAATACTTATAGTTTTTAAAATCTCTTTATACATTTACATAAATGATTTGACAAACTGCTGTATACATTTTCGCATTCTAATATATGTACTAAGAAGAATGTTTACAATATCTTAACTTTGCACACATTGCGTTTACATTTCCTGAGAAAATTTTCTTAAACTGAAAACAATCAGGTTAAACAACTAAAACAGTCAAACATCATCCTATAAAATTTTGCAGGTAAAGCACAATAAATTAAACACGAAGAATTTGTGAAAATATAGTGATAAGCCACGTTTACCCAAAGATGGCAATTAGGCTCTAAACTGATGCTTAGTATTTTTGTCAGATAGATACTTTGCAAGAGTGTGCAATTTTTCTTAAATAACAGCACAATGCACAGAAGCATCTTATTCCCTACATGGAAGATTATTATAATGTTTCTCACCAAAATTGTGTTAGGAAATTACTCCCTGATAATTTGAAAATTAACCTTATCATCCTTCTTTCCATGCCTTTCATATCGTACGTTTCCTTCATTTAAATATCAATATTCTAATCTATATTACGAGAACTTCATATCTTACATTTCCTTCATTTAAATATCAATATTCCCCCATAAGCAGAATATTTTCAAATGTTCCGCAACGGGACTTATTAATTTATACGAATGTTCTGCAAGCATTTCACTGCGAAAAAAAGTCAAAAAAGTCAACTTTACGTTAAAATATAATATTTTCAGTTATTAAAATACAGGATCATACACAAATACGCAACAGTATTTTTCAAACCGAGGCAAACATTCTTGATTTGTTACTTTTTCAATCACTTTTGAAGTACAAATTTTGTTAATGACGACTATGATGATGATGAATTATTAATAAAATGCCTATGATATGAAGGTCCGAACATGTTTTTGTTGTTGTTGCTAATTCCCATCTGGTCTGACGGGGTCAGACCAGATCAATGAATTCGTTGATATTAGGAAAATCCGAAACCAGAATGGGAGAGGAATGAATGTCGTTCCAGTCCAGCCCTAAACAGTTCAAGATGTGCTCAGGTGATGCCTGGTTTTGTTGGCATTTAGGGCAAAGAGGAAAGATCTTTTGATTTGCAGAAAATGTGAGACTTTTCAGGTGTCCACTGGCCAGTCGGGATAAGCAGGTGTTGGTTTGCCTGTTACCAGGAAGAGATAGAGAGAGTCCTGGTTGTTTTGCTTTATACCAGTAGTGAATAGGTGGAAGCAGCCACTTTTGTTTGTTCTGGGCCTTTTGCCTTGCAAAAAGTTCAAGGTATGTAAGCTCTGAGGAGGAGGGGACTGGATGGTCTAGTCCCTTCTTTACAAGAGTGTCAGAAGGTCCGAACATTAAAATAAGGACTCACTTAAAAATTTTTTCGAAGGGACAAGAGCCCAAATGGTGCACCATTTGCAAACACAAACAGTCGCTGGTTGTTGTTCCAACAACTTCTTCATCTCCATCGAAAGCATTTGGTCTTTCAGAAACAATTCTGTCAATCATGGATCCCCACGATTCACAAATTGCTTCTGAAATGGGAATGGAAAATATAAAAGTCATAAACTTTATGAAATCGGAAACCTCGGAATTTAATTCTTTTACGGCTTGATTTAGAAGGTTTCTTGATAAAATAGGTGTTCGATTTCTCCTGCTGTCTGCTAAACACTGATACACCCATTTTATAAAAATGTTATAGCCAAAAGTTAATTCATTAATTTCCTCCTCAGAATGGCAAAGATATGGGAGAGGGAGATTACTGATAAATGTGCTGAAATTTGTGCAGGGTGTCAAATGTTCCTCTTCTAAAGCAACATCATTCCAAGGAAACAGCAAGTGGTCAAAACTAAAGAGAATTCTATTCAAAATACAAATTGCTCTGCAGGATTTAGTTTGTTCTGCGACGTACGTCACAGTTTTATGCACTTTCTGCTTCTGGGAATATTCCTATCTATATTACGAGGACTGGACTTCATATCTTACATTTCCTTCATATTAATATCAATATTTCAATCTATATTACTAAGGCATCATATCTTACATTTTCTTCATTTAAATATCAATATTTCTATCTGTATTAATAGGACTTCATATCTTACAATTCCTTCATTTAAATATCAATATTCCAATCTATATTACTAGGACTTCATATCTTACATTTCCTTCATTTAAATATCAATATTCCTATCTATATCACGAGGACTTCATACTATACAATAACAGTTTTAATACCAAACAATTTCCACTAGACTCACAAATAAATCAACGGTTAAATCTACCATTTGCCCTCTTTACTTACTACTCTACCACATATCAAGAAAAAGTCACAAAAAAAATTGTTGAGACTTCAATTGATAAGTTTGCGCGTGGTGGCGCAGGTGCTAGAGCGTTCGCTTTCCAATGAGTTGAACCGGGTTCAAATCCCAGCGGTGGCTGGTCAATACGAATTTTGCACTCAGCTCGCACCAGCCACTGTGCTGATGTAAAATATCCTCAGTGATAGACGTATCATGGGTTAAAGTCCCCTTGCCATCAGACAAACCGTGAAAGGTTTCCGTGATTTTCCTCCCCATGTAAAGCAAAGGAGGGTTAGTTCCATCCAAAACTCCTCCCCGTAAGCAAATTTCTCCCAATGCCTAATCCAAGAGTTCCCTTATCTTCTGGATAAGGTTCAAAATTACAAGGTTACGGAGTTGAATATTAGTAGTCGTAAGCCAGAAATTGGGTCGACTTTTCTAGGACGGTTATAAAATAAAATTCTTAAGTTTGCTGACGCGAAAATTACTATTTTGCCTCTGTAGCCTATATCGAAATTTGACTGGATCACTTCGAGGAAAGTGACATATTGTAGTGATTCAATCTGTATAACTTTTTTGTAGCTTGTTTAATGCTCTCAACAAAAGAAATGTGCCATTGATATAAAGAAAACTGGAAATTGTTTTGAACTAAATTCTTTGATTACCTCACATTTTTTCCCTCTATACTTATGCTTATTCATACAATTATTTTTAGCTTTAAATCTTCTCGTTTTAAATAATTGTATCTAATTTTTTTAGGCAACTTCAGAAAAATGTAATTGNTGAACCGGGTTCGAATCCCAGCGGTGGCTGGTCAATATGAATTTTGCACTCAGCTCGCACCAGCCACTGTACTGATGTAAAATATCCTCACTGGTAGACGTATCATGGGTTAAAATCCCCTTGCCATCAGACAAACCGTGAAAGGTTTCCGTGATTTTCCTCCCCATGTAACGCAAAGGAGGATTAGTTCCATCCAAAACTCCTCCCCGTAAGCAAATTTCTCCCAATGCTTAATCCAAGAGTTCCCTTATCTTCTGGATAAGGTTCAAAATTACAAGGTTACGGAGTTGAATATTAGTAGTCGTAAGCCAGAAATTGGGTCGACTTTTCTAGGACGGTTATAAAATAAAATTCTTAAGTTTGCTGACGCGAAAATTACTATTTTGCCTCTGTAGCCTATATCGAAATTTGACTGGATCACTTCGAGGAAAGTGACATATTGTAGTGATTCAATCTGTATAACTTTTTTGTAGTTTGTTTAATGCTCTCAACAAAAGAAATGTGCCATTGATATAAAGAAAACTGGAAATTGTTTTGAACTAAATTCTTTGATTACCTCACATTTTTTCCCTCTATACTTATGCTTATTCATACAATTATTTTTAGCTTTAAATCTTCTCGTTTTAAATAATTGTATCTAATTCTTTTAGGCAATTTCAGAAAAATGTAATTGACAAGGAATGTCCATTTCAAGTAGTTGTTATTGAAAAGGTAGCTATAGTTCCATATGAATATTTCAAGCAATGAAACTGGTGAATTATTGTATCAAATATCTGACACTTCAAGAGCAGCTATTGGAATCACACTTTTGTTTATTTTTTTGATTGGTGGAGCAGGGAATACAGTGATGAGTCTCTTAGTTTTTCGCCACACTGAAATGCACTCAATCATCAATTTGCTGCTTTCAACCATGGCCGCATCAGATGCTATAATCTCCATCGCTTGCGTACCATTCGATATTGTAACTGTGATATTAAGAAAGTGGATATTTGGATGCGTATTTTGCTTCATACATGCCTACGTTTTAACACTGCTGGTCGTGCAGAATGTTGTGCTGCTTGTCATAATAAGTATTGATCGCTACCTCATTTTAGTGCACAAAAGACATTATCTTTATGACTGCAAAGCTACGTCTTTGGTCTCGTGCTGCTTATTGTTTTCTATGTTAATATCGTGTCCACCTATATTTGGATTCGGGAAATTCCTGTTCATGAATGCACCTTGCAAACAAGGTCTTAATGCTGAAAGAAGCGATGTCATATACTTGTCTATGTTTTCAAGTCTGGTGTTTGTGTTACCATTTGGACTTCTTCTTTTAGCATATGTTCAAATTATCTCAGCAATAAGAAAGAGCAAATATCGAGTGAGACCTGAGTTGCAAAGGGTAGAGCAAAATCGCCAGTTTGCGGTTGGACGCCAGTCCTTTGATGCACGTTTTAAGCAAAAGACATTTTCAACCATACTATATTTATACATTGCAACCATGTCGTGCAAGATACCTTTATTAGTGTCTCTCTTAATACAGAAGTTCTCAAAGACAGTCATCTGTCCAACGCCATACTGGGTTTTGGTTATATTGTATTCGAACTCAGCTATTAACCCCTTCATCTATGCATCTAAGATAACAACTTACTGGATGGTATTGAATGGTAAGTTTAGACATGTTAGAAATAAAGCTCGTGGTTTAAGCATCAACAAGAAAAGAAACAATCCAGAATGTATTTATAAAATATCTATTGATGCACAGTCAAGTTCTCTTGCACAAATGGAAAAAATGTAAGATTTGAACCTGTCAGATAAACAGCTAACAATTTTTTAAAACATTTTTAAGTCAGTTTTGTATAATTTGCCATAAAAACTGCAATACGCAAGGTTTTTTGTGCATTATTGCAATATTTTTGAATAAAAGCTGAGAAATTAGAAGTACGTGTATTGATGTAGCTAAAATAAATGCATTTTGTTTTTAAATTATGTTTTAATGTTTTTTTTCCACAAAAATATTATTCAATATCACTTTATAATGTTTGACTAGAAAAATACGAATTATAGACATGATAATGGAATTCATTTTAGGCCTAGCACAGAAATTTTTATGAAATATGGTATTATTTTCATTGAAATATGCTTCGCCTCTTTGGTAGAGACTGCTTATCTTACATGCACTGCATTGTGTTTATCTTCCCCCAAACGAATATTGCGTTATTGCGCCATAAATAGAAATCAACAAACATGCATCTGTCGAATAGCATGTGAAATTACAGTTCTCCATCTGAATCAGATAAAATTTTCCAAACCATATGGCATTTTGAAGATCGAATTACATTGTCGTCTATTATCAAATGCCATTCGAATTTCATAAAATAAAAGGATCTTCCTTTTTTTAAAATTTCGTGTTGCCTATATGAATTTGTTGCTATTTCTTACGACTTTTTTATGATATCACGTGCAAGTGTGACTTATTTTCACTTTTCAGTCACTCTGTTGCCAAGGTTTAGCATTTCAATTAGAAATCGGGCAATTAGAAATCGCCTTCCTTCCCAATATGAATGTCTTACTCTGACTCACCTTATTAGTGAAGAGATCATTCTTTTGGCCCCGATGTCATTATTAAATAAAGCTAACCTTGGTAACAATTATTTAGAAATATTTATTTAAGTAATCAATAACGATATTACTCATGGCTTCGCAACGATAACGATATCACTCATGGCATCTTGTCTTTTTTTAAAAGAAGTACCGTTATAGAAATATCATTAAATGCAAAAATAAATAAATAAATAAAATAGATAAATAAAATAAATAAAAAATAAAATAAATCAATAAATAAAATAAATCAATAAATAAAATAAAGGAATAAATAAAATAAAAAGAAATTTCGACGTCTAAGTTGAAGTTAGGGAAAACTAAGTAGAAGTTATTGCAAAAAAAAGCAAGCTAACTGAAGTTACTTAAAAAAACAAATAAAAAAAAAAACAAGTCGACACTTGCGGAGAGCTGCTAAAGCTGTTGAGTAAATTGACTTTTGATTAATAAAAAATAATTTTTTTTTATCTTACTTATGTTATAAGTTGCCTCGAAGTTTGTTCCTCATCGTTTAGGCGATTTTAGCTTTATAAGTTTCATTTTACGTTCATTGCAACATACATTTCCTAAACTGACGAGCTTCAATTATTTTAAACATATGAATAATTTAATGCTTTATTAGTGAACATCATTCGTATCTTAATTTTAAATATTTTTTATTCGCTTCCAGCGTATTTTAGTTGTCAAACAGAGGGCGCCACAAACCAACACCTTCATTAGACTTTAAAGTTCTGTACAGCGAAATAAACAAACAATGTATTGAACAACTATTCAAGCAAAGCCTCTAATTTCTCTTACCGCATTCAACTAAATTTAACTAATAAAGCTCCTTCACGAACGTTGCAAACATTTTTCTTATAATTATTAGAAACGTGGAAGTTCTTGTCAATATTGAGTTCTGACTCGTCAAAATCTAACGTACTATTATGATTAATTTCAGTTTGAGATTTTAGAACTAAAACTGAAATTTTAGAAAAATCAAAATTTAAAAAAAAAATATATATATATTGTTAACTTCGATATAGTTGTTATTCTGGTGTTTTTTATAGGACAAAGAGTCGGACACAGATTCAAATCTTTAAAGATCTCGTTATTTTCTTCCTTACAAATGCTTTAGAAAAGCTACAATATGAAGCAAGAATTTGAAATTCGCTCAATAGTGGAAACCAAACAATCTTGAATGTACGCCTATTTATAGATCTTAGGTTATCTTTCCAATCGTCAACATAGAAGACATACTATACATAACTATGTCCCAAGACATAATAAGAACAAAAACAAAATATTCTAAAATTTGTTGACCTGATCAATAGATAAATTAGTATTCAAACATTGGAACATAGTTTCCCTCCTACAAAAACTTCCGCCACGTCATATCCCATCTTAATTTTTTTAATTAGATGATAGTGTAAAGTTACCTATTAGATCAGCAGTTATAAAAGGTTCAAGATAAGATTGCGTTGGCAGTTTTAATTTATCGCCATGATTAGGAGAAGGGCCCAACTCAACTGCCCAAGAGAGGCAGCTTCCGCGTGCGACCGAGGAAGGGCTGACGTCAGAAAGTGTCCCAAGGACGTCCAGCTCAGGACGTCACATAATGAGGGGCCATTAAACAAGAGCCGAGAGGAAATTCTGTCCGAGTCCCTCATTAATTAGTCAGGCGCGAACTTTAGATCTCCGGAAATGGCAACGACTATCACTTTATTCTAAGCAATCGACCCTGTCTCTGAGGCCATGGGAAAGAATGCTTGGCGGTTTTTCTTAAGACTGTTTTGGCACAGTTTCTTCTAAGGGAAATTGAAAATAAGTTTTTTTTCTTTCATGGAGGTTAGGTGATAATTATAATAAGCGATCATAAATTATAGAAAACCCAAAATTTATATTTCTAAATTACTTCAGATTTGGTGACGTTATGAATTAATACTATGCTGATTTGTTTTAGCTTTGAATTTTAATTTGCTTGCTCAGAAACATTCACAAAATTTCAAAATTACTGAATTTTTCTTTAAAAAAATATTTTTATAACGGAATCATTGTATCTTTATGGTAACAATTTTTCACACGAAAGTTCTTAACTGATTTTAAAATCATTTATTTAGTTAGAAAATAATCACTAATTTACTTCTTTAATTTGAGATAAAACAATTATTCCTACTTTTCTATGAGATTCCACGGCAAAGAAATAAATAAAACTTATATTTTATATAGATTTTGTTATAATGATGAGTAAAATAGTTCCACTAAGAATTCGAGTAATGTTATGTATTCAAATTTAGTAAAAATGAATTTTCGGTATAGATACATATTTACAAACTGTTTCTTTGAAATACATAAAAATTAACTTCGTGTGTTTGTGAGAGACGAAACGGGGGAATTATCCTACAATATTTTTATTAACTCACTTAGGTGACTGCGAGGCTGGAAGCCGTCGCCAATAGCCCATTGTGCAGCTCTAGTGCGACGTAAATGAACTACAACAACAACAGCGAGGCTGGAAGCATGCAATCCTAATTTCTTCACCATTTTCTAACTAACCAGAGTTTTCATATCTCCATTGGTTCTCTCTGTCTGGTTAAAATACAAGCTCCAAACATTTCCTACCCGTTACAAATAAAATATGTCGCTATATTATCGCCAAATGGAATTTATCGTTAAAAAGGATCACTTTCCAGCTAGTAAGAGTACTTAAATTTGATAGGTAGCTTTGCTTTGGTTGATCGATCAAGTTACAATGCTTCTTTGATAGCTAGAAAAATTATGTTGACATTTTTATCACCAAATAGAAATTATTACCACTTGAAATAAACGACCATCTTATGACTAACTAGAGTAGAGTGCTTAAATTTCAACTGCAGTTCTGCATCTGAGACCAATGCAAGTCAGAATTATTTCTCAAAAGATACTGGCAAAATTTATCGCCTATCACAGTTTCAACCTCTTATCAACAAAACTACAAAAACAAGGAAAAAGAAGATAATAAAATAAAATAAAAAAATTAAATACCGCTATTATCGGTGATTACTTAGACCACTTTTCAATTTAAGACGCTTGTCAGTTTAAGTGAATTTACTTTAAAGATTACTTAATTAATGTATTTACTTAGTTAATGACACAGACACGTGTTGGCTCAGGGGATAGAGTTTTCATTTTCCAATTAAGTGACCCATGTTCGAATTCCAGCCGTGGCTGATTAATACGAATTCCCCACCGGCTTGCACCGACCACATTGCTGACGTAAAATATCCTCAATGGTAGACGGATCATGGGTTAGAGTTCCCCTGCCGTCGGACTAACCGTGGGAGTTTCTCATGGTTTTCCTCTCCATTTACGCAAATGCCGGTTAGTTCCTTCAAAAAATCCTTCATGAAGGCAGATTTTTCTCAATAGTTAATCCAGGAGTTCCCTTGTCTTCTGGATTGGGTTCAAAATTACAAGACTACGGAGTTGAACATTAGTCGTTGTGAACCCAAAAATTGGGTCGACTGTTCAACGACGGTCATAAAATAAAATTAATGCCACACAAAGTGAAACTACAATTTCATCAGTAAGAATTTAATATTTGGCTAACAATAATGTGTGATGGAGTATAAAAAGGCTAAAATAAATTGTATATATACTGCTCCCTTTATTATGTAAAAAAAGTTATAAAACATATTTTTTTAAATTTTTGTTTCGGAAAGTTCATTATCAACTCATCAACAGGAACTCACTATAATATTTATTTTTATAATCGAACAGATTTCTATTTATTGAACACCGGATAACACCGATATAAGAAAAAATTTACCATATTATAATCAATAAAGTAAGCCATAAAAGTTGTACTTAAAATTATGAGTTAAGTAATTGAAGTTAAGACACGAATAAATTTGTTATTGAATTATTTTAAAAATAAGTGAAGATTTATTTAATATTTCTAACTTACGCATACTCACAGTATTTAAAATATGGAAGTAATTTCATTGAAATAAAAAAATTTATGGCAGGAAAATTTCTAAAGAAACTCAATTAGTGTCCAAAATTTATCCAACAAAAGTAGTATAAGTTTAACCGGTTGCCTTAATTGACATTACGTTTTTCTTAATTTTTATTTGTTTATTTATTTATTCAAATTTAGTTTCGTTATTTTTCTAATTAACCACCACGACATGTTTTAATAAAATATTAAATACAGCGTATTTACTTTTATTAAAAAAGAATGTATATATTATTTATAATTGTAAGCATTTTTTCCCATTTTTTATTATAAGAAAAAATTAACTTTATTTGTTTTGATTGAAAAATTTAAAATAACTTTTAAATAATAGCAGATATTTTTTTAAAATTATATATATATNTATTTGTTTTGATTAAAAAATTTAATAACTGATTTTTTTTTAAAGAATTATATTGTCAAGAAGACAACATTAAATGATCCAAATTACTTATCTTTATAAATTGGCAGCTTTTTAATGATCAATTTTATTTCAATGCCAGTATTATTAGGTTTCTGAACTAGCTAATTTCTTCTCTAGGTAGGTAGGCATTTTATTTACGTCGCACTAGAGCTTCACAATGGGCTATTGGCAACAGTTTGGGAAACATCCATGAGGATGATCCGAAGACATGCCATTACAATTTCTATACTCCGCAGATGGGATTTCTCTAAAGTAAAGTTGAATGACTTAAAAAAACATGCTACATGACATTTTGAAAACACTAAAATTTCTAGGTTTTACAATGTACAAAATTCAAGATCAAATTACAGTAAAAAGTACCAGCACTCAGGTCACCGGTTTCTATTTACTGTAAAATACATTTTAACTGAAATATTTTATGAGAAAAAAAATCTGATTTACCTCGATTTTTACTGTAATAACTACCATAAAATCCCTGAATCACTCTCACTATTTATTTAAAATATATATTAGAGTAAAAAAAACGGTATAATATTTTACGATGAAATGGATTTTATGATGCACCCAAAGTGCCAGTATTTTGCACCGTAATTTAATCCTGAATTTTCGACTGTGTAGAACATGCTATGTGAAGTATAAATATTTAAGTAACTTAGAGGGAAAAAATGTCAAGCTTAATTTTCGAAATACTAAAATTTCTGGATTTCAGAGCATGTTATGCAATATGCTGGAAATAGGTTGAATAACTCAGTGGAAAATCATGTTAAGTGACATTTTGAAATTGCTTCATTTATAGGTTTTAGAACATATTATCAGAAGAGCAGGAATTATTTAAATATCTTAGTGGAAGAACATCTAAATTATAATTTCGGAAACATTGAAATTTTTAGGCTTTAAAACATGTTATGAAATGCACTGAAAATTGGTTGAATGACTCAGTGAAAAATCATGTTAAGTGACATTTTGAAATTGCTTAATTTATAGGTTTTAGAACATATTATCGAAAGAGCTGGAAATATTTAAATATCTTAGCGGAAGAACATCTAAATTATCATTTTGGAAACATTAAAATTTCTAGTTAAAATCTATGTTGGAACAAGCTATGAAATATACTGGAAATTGGCTGAATGACTCAGTGGAAAATCATGTTAAGTGCCATTTTGAAATTGCTTCATTTATAGGTTTTAGAACATATTATCGAAAATTTTTAGGTTTTAGAATATGTCATGAAATAAAGTTTGAGAAGTATTAGAAGTTTCTGGTTGCCTACATTATGAAATATTATTTTATTTAGCCAAGTCTTTAAAAAAACCGTTTTGCGTTTATCTCTCTACAATATTTTAAACAGAACTTTAAAACCTCACCTAACTACTCAGTTAACTAATGTGTTTTGAGATTAAGCTGGACATTTTGCTTACAATATGAATCAGTAAACATAAAATTCTAGATTCCCTTCAGAATATTCTAAGTTACAGTAGCTTAATTGACTTAATCCATTTTCTTTCCAATTTAAAAATAATTGCAACAAAGCGCGATATTTTGAAAATTTATCACCATGTTTACAAAGCCACGGTCTTATGTAGCAATTAATGCATCGCAAGGACGAAAACGCACCACCAAGGCCAAGGATATCACCGGGAACTCGCACTAATCGCATTCACTGTTAGTTGTAATATAGGAAACGTCACAAGTGAACGAATAACAAAAGAACTTGGAACACAGAAAAAAAAATTACTACAGGGACCTCAATTAAAATGGTATTTGTTAAGCGGAGAGGATGTCACGTGATCTTCAATTCGTGCCCTATGCCATAAGCTCCATTCACTATCGTGCAATCGTCCGGTTACTATCCCTGTTTACAGGACCCGGAATTTGGAGGGACTGAAGCGAAATATACATTGTTTATAGTTTTTCCTGCCGGACTTCCGTCTTGTCGTAGTGTTAATCTTTAAAACAGGATTGAATGCATATTTTACGTGCCCATTGGTCTTTGCCTGTTTGGATCTAAGTTGCTCCAAATCACCTCATCGTATTTATTTCTCTTTTATCATCTAAAAAGGATCTGATTTTTCATTTTGATAAAGGTATGTAATATTTCTGTATAGTTATGTAACAATAATATTGGATAATACTGGATTAGTGCTTTCGGCCATTTTGGATTATAAGATTTGTTGTATTGTTCTAAACGAAATAAACGACTTTAAACTAAACAACTGGATGAATATAATGGGAAATTCAAATGTTTTTCAAGTGTAATTTGTTAGATTTGGCCAGTCATGTTTAATACACTTCATAATACACACAAAATCTTTGAATTTGTTTTTCTTATGATTGCACTTTGTTTTATGCAACAAAGAAAACCAAACAAGAAAGTTTTATCGTATACATTTAATTGTAAAACATTAACGAGACGTCCAAAAATGTTACTTTTTTAAATATATTTATAGGATCACTGTTAAGGGTAGACGGAGAAAAAAATTCTGGTAAAATTAACTATTCTATTTAGCAAAGTCATTTCTGGTTAAAGAAAAAAACCTAATTCTGATAATAAAATCAAAATATACAATATTTAAATGGTCATATGGAAACGATTTCTATTCATATGGGAACGATTTCTGTTCATATGACAGTGGTTTATTGGAAATTCTGGTTTTCAAAATTATAGTTCTTATAACCCGCAACATTTAATAAAAATACACAACTGAACTGTAAATTTACCTGAATGAATGGTTTTTATACCATGCTCTATGGTATTATGATACAATTACTAAGTTTTACCCCTTTTACCAACTTCTAATGCTCATTATAAAACGATATTTTATGGTTAATTTTACCAAAATCATTTCATCAGCACTTCGGTAAAAAATACCGTTCTTCTTAGTGCTCCCATAGAGCCAGAAATACGATAAATTTTACCATGTTCTGGTAGTTTTTGATTATATCTGATCATATAATCTCAATGTAAAACATTTGAAGTTTTTTTTTATTCAGTAACAAATAAAAAAATAAGTATATATAACTGAAATAAAAATAATTTAGCAAATTGAAATATCCATGAACATTACATTTCCATATTTGGGCAACCTAAAAATTGGTTTTGCTTTTGTAAATAATTTTAGGAACAATGCCGTATTAACGAAATACCAAAAACAGCATCACCCTCTTTTTTACATATTGTAACATCATATTCTAAATTTTGAGTGATTTCTTTGGTGAGACAAAACCCTAGTATTACCCCTAATTTTACTAATCAGATTCCTTATATTTTTGGGAACCAGTTTTGTGTTTCATAGAAAAATCAACTGTTGCTACTTTTAAGGCGAACTGCATTTCTTCTTTTAGTGCTAAAAAAGGCTTTAAAAATTAGTGAACCAAATAAATGTTTTTTATCAATATATTTTTTAAATAAATTTTTATAATCAAAATTTTGATTAATTTTAATTTCATTGCAGCATAGGATCTACAAACTAAATTTTAAAATTCTGTTAACTATAAAAAGATCAAACATCATTAAAGGGTAATTAAAACGCCTTGATATTATCCTTAGCAATTATTTGCTACAACAATTTAAAATATTTTTACTGAATTAAATTCGGAAATCAGTAGAACAAGCTAAGTTAGAATTATACAGTAATAATCACATATTGTATTTTTAAGAGCAGAGTATGTTTAGAAAAGCGTTTTCTATGAAAAAGTTTCGAATCTCTTAATATACATGATGAGCTCTGACTAGCAATGAAAAAACCGGAAACTGCTTATTTCAATGAAGCAAAACTTGGATAAGCAATACAAGAATACTAAGCAAATACTTGATTATAGAAATGTATTATAAAAAATTAAAAACTTAGGATTTCCCTTTTTTTCTTAAAAAAAATTGAAGCAAAACTTAAGCGTTTACACAGCAACATTATATTGCTAAAAATTTCTGATAAAAGTGGTTAAATAAGAAATTATTTAAACGTTATTTCACCATACTCAAACAAAACAGTCAAATAGGCGTTAAAAAGATGGTAATCAGACCGTTAACTACGAGGAAAACCGTTTTTTAACTGTTTTCACCTAATACGGTTAAACAAACTGAATTTTGTAGCACCAACTAAGCCCACCTATAAATGCCACTTAGTTCCAAGCAACAGCGTACATGTTACAGCTGTGAGGGCTAATCTGTCTCTTGACCGATAGAACAGGATTCAAGTCACAGCGTTGGCACCACAATATTTCCTCCACTTACCTTAACACATGAAGAGTTTTCAGTGCCCTGCATTCTCCAATGACTGTTACCCAACGAACGGCCTAGCTCCTATGTCCAGTTGAAATTCTTTTTTGCCGTTTTGAAGTATTATTCTGGTTATAAATGGTTAAAAAAACGGTATAATTTTTCATTCGTGATTTTATAACCAAAACTAGTTGTAAACAATGTGAAAAACGGAAAGCTAAAAACTTTCTTTACCGTAAACTTTACGGTTATTCAGACAACTGCCGGTTATTTTACCATAATTTCGGAAGGAAAATTCCATCAGTGAAGGGTCAAAAAATTACGCATGAGAATAAATTTTAATTTAAGGAGTGAGTCTTATCAAATGGTCTCCAAATTTTCTTTTTTTTATATACACTTTTATGTTAAAATTTTAAAATTGGGAGAATGAAGAAACGGAAAACTCTGAGTCTTATCAAATGTTCTCCAAATGTTCTTTTTTTTTCTACACTTTTACATTAGAATTTTAAAATTGGGAGAATAAAGAAACGGAAAACTCTGAATCTTATCAAATGTTCTCCAAATTTTTTTTTTTTTTTATCTACACTTTTACATTAAACTTTTAAAATTGGGAGAATAACGAAACGGAAAACTCTGAATCTTATCAAATGTTCACCAAATTTTCTTTTTTTTATCTATACTTTTACATTAGAATTTTAAAATTGGGAGAATGAAGAAACGGAAAACTCTGAGTCTTATCAGATGTTCTCTAAATGTTCTTTTTTTTTATCTACACTTTTACATTAAACTTTTAAAATTGGGAGAATGAAGAAATTAAAAACTCTGAGTCTTATCAAATGTTCTCTAAATTTTCTTTTTTTTATCTGCACTTATACATTAAACTTTTAAAATTGGGAGAATAAAGAAACGGAAAACTCTAGTAATCATTCAAGTTTATGGTAAACATTATTATTAAACTAACACATTAGCACATAAGTTTTCATAAAAAAATATAGAAATATTTTCTAAACAAAAGAAACATTGCAAATGAAACGATAGCTTGATATATGTTTTTTCATACATATTTTCAAAATTAGATTTTACAGCTACACGTGCTTGCTTATATAAAAGTAATTTTTTTTAAGTATCTAAAACTTTTATCGAAAACACATTTCCAAAATAAATCCAATACTTATTCTGGCAATTTTTTTAACAAAATGTTTTGAATTTTTATAAGTTTGCTTTTGGTGCTTATTGTACCCAATCGAGGTTTTCAATCTTTCCTTTTTAATTGTGAATAATTTTTAATTTTTACGTTAAAAATGTAATTTTCATATTAAATTTGGAATTTTTTTCGTGAATTAGAAATTGATTCAAAATGAAACAGAATTGGTCCCTATAATTCTATTTTATTTTACATGGTTAATATCTATTAATATTTTAAAGAGAAAGAAAAGCATTAGTTTATGATTAATAAAAGAGAAAAAAAATCAGAACGGGAAACAGATGCGTTGTTTCCTTGAATTCTGAATTATTCTCATTGTGCTGTTACGGAAATGGAATGTTTAAATGATCAATTCATGATCTTTAATTGATCACGATAAACCATTCTTGAAATTACAGAATAATTTTCTTGCAATATACTGTTATAATGTTGTTTTTGCATGATTTTCAAAGACATCAGAAAATAATGAAATTTAATTTATTAAAGTTGTTTTTGTAATGATTGCTTTCGTCTGCTTAATGAATTAAATTGCTAAATGAATCTAAAAATCATAGTTTAGGATAACTTATGCCTTAATAATTACTTCGAAATGGAATACATTTTATGTATTCTTTCAAAGCTTCTTTCTTCTTCTTAAAAAAAGAAAAAAATTCGTAAGAACTGGTTGGCAAATAACATTCCGTGTTCTTTTCCTATAACTTATATTCGGCATTAACAAAATATTTTTTCTTTGACTTGTGTATTTTACGTTAGTTTGATTAGGATCACCTTAACGCTTAGTTTTTTTGCATCGGTTACAGTTTTCATTTGTTTTCTTAAAATAATTAATCTTAACGATTTTTACTTTATTTGTCATGTTTTTTTTTCTCAACTTTTCTTTAGTTACGTTTGGAACAAAGCCATGACATCCCTCTAAAGTTGATTTTGTTTTTATATCTTTTTAAGTTCTTAAGTGTTCTCTTAAAAAATTTTAGTTTTTAAGACTTATCACCGCTTTTTTCAAAAGTACAATATTTTGTTTTAAAATATGTAATCTTATAATTTTATGGTATAAAAAAATTATAATTTTATGGTATAAAAAGACGAAGACACATCTAAAGACAGAAAATTACAATTTTATGTCAAATTTTATCTTTAGATTTCAGTTTTTACACACTTTCTCAAAAAATTTCAAATTTTTAGAAGTTATTTTACATGAATTCACTTGTAACAAAAAGAGCCTACACTGTGAAAAAGTTCCAAATCGAATTACGGTACATGCACTCTGTGTGCATCTCATCCGTAAAATCCACTTTTACTGTAAAATATTACATTGTAATTTTCACAGTAAAATTTATTTCATTAGAGTGTTTTAATGATTTTTCGGTAATTATTATAGTAAAAAATACTGTATATCAGATTTTTTGTTCCGATAAAATAGATTTTACATTAAAAAGTAACAGCACCTTGAGTGCTGATACTTTTTATCTTAATTTTATCCTGAATTTTTCTACAGTGTTCTCATAATACATTTCTGTTTTATCTCCGTAAATTTTAAGATTATATCAGACAACAAAATTTTAATAAGTTTGATACAACTCTCCAAATGTTATAATGACAATTTTTTTAATTGTTTCATTTTGCCTACACTATTTCCACCTTTAAATTTTAATTGCAATATTTCT